GAATATGTGCAGGCAAAAATATGAGGGGACTCGGTGCTAGGCAAGTTTGCTGACTCATATAGATCTCCAGCCATTTTGCATTCTGAAACTTTCTTCCTTCCTTCCTTCCTTCCTTCCTTCCTTCCTTCCTTCCTCCCTTCCTTCATTTCCTCCTCCTTATCCTCCTTCTCGTCATCCTACATGTCAACCTCTTCCTCCTTCTCCTCTCCCTCTCCTCTTCCTCATTATCCTCCTTCTCCTTCTTCTCCTTCTCCTTCTCCTCCAATGGAGATAGTAAAGGAACTGAAGTAAAGAGCTGCAATCCATTCTCTGCAATTTGTCAGCTTAATGAGATCAACGAACTGAGCAGCCATAAGAGAACACTGCTCTTTGATAATGGCTCCTTTCAGAATGAAGGGTGTCTTCCTTGACAAGGGATGTCAAAAAAACAAAACAAAACCAAGACAAGATGGCAGCTATGCAACCAAAGCCCTACCCCTTGGCATGTTGTACATTTTTCATAGGTAAAACGAGGGTGGAACTTTGATTGCATGGTCATCATTTTGACTCCTGAAGACAACCTTGTTTAAGACTGTTCTTTAGGGCAATTTATCCATCAGAGAAGATGTTTCGTGTTCTCATCTGGCTTCCTGGTTTTAGAGGACCCCATGCCTATTTTCAGAGCCAATTTGGTGTAGTGGTAAAGGTACCAGGATAGAAACTGGGAGGGTTACTCTCTCTCAGCTCTAGGAAGGCAGCAATTGGACACTATTTCTAGAATCTTGCCATGAAAACTGCAAGGAAGTTGCCAGGAGTCCATATCAGTGGTGGGATTCAGCCGGTTCGCACCTCTTCGGTAGAACCGGTAGCTAATTTTTTGTGGCCCAGGCCCAGAATGGACTTCCAGAAGTGGCATCCACACAGAGAACTGGTTGTTCACATATTTGAATCCCACCACTGATCCATATTGATATGACTGCACAAAGTATGCCTGCTTTCAGAGTTTCAAGTACTCATTTTTAAAATTTATTCTTGTTGTGGATAACTGTTCCCTTCGAGGAAAGAAATTTTACTTTATAATTTTATTTGATCTCTGAACAATGGGAGTCATGATATCCACAGAAAGGGAACTGTGATTAAAGGTCTCCTGTGACATTCTGATGCAAACACTGTCCCTCAAATGCTGACGTGTACCCCAAATACAAAACAGAAGAACTGGCTGTCACGATGTCCTTGCCATGTCCTGCAAAATTCATTTCCTCTTGTATTTACAATACTAACAGAATAACAGAGTTGGAAGGGACCTTGGAGGTCTTCTAGTCCAATACCCTGCTCAGGCAGGAAACCCTATATCATTTCAGACACATGGTTGTCCAATCTCTTCTTAAAAACTTCCAGTGTTGAAGCATTCACAACTTCTGAAGGCAAGTTGTTCCACTGATTAATTGTTTTCGCTGTCAGGAAATTCCTCTTTAGTTCTAGGTTGCTTCTCTCTTTGGTTAGTTCTTGTCCTGCCTTCAGGTGCTTTGGAGAATAGCTTGACTCCCTCTTCTTTATGGCAGCCCATTAGATATTGGAACACTGCTATCATGTCACCCTCTAAGAATACCTCAATCCATGTATTTTGAACATATATCTTTGTAACACTGACATTTAGAAACTGTCATTATTGTATTGATGCCATGCTGGTGCAGTGGTTCGAATACAGGCTAACTCTGCTCACACTGCCAGTTTGACTCCTTCTGTTCTGATTGGCTCAAGGTTGACTCAGCCTTCCATCCTTCTGAGGTCATTAAAAGGAGGACCCTGTTGGGGTCAAGATGCTGACTCTGTAAATCTCTTAGGGCTGTAAAAAGCACAATGAAACAGTATGCAAGTCTAAGTCAGTGGCTCCCAACCTTTTCTATATCCCCCACCCCTAGAACTCTTCTGATACATTCTTACACCCCTTATAGAAGTTTGAAATAATGGCAATGAATTATGCATATACACTATAATTTTGAAAACCCATGTTTTCGCATCCCTTGGAATATCATCTTGCACCCCTATGGGGTGGGAGCACCCCCGGTTGGGAACCCCTGGTCTAAGTGTATTGCTATTTTTAAAATGTCCAAGAATGCTAAATTTGGTGGCCAAGATGTAATGCTACAACTTTGGGGCACTTTTGGGTAGCCTGTCATGGTTCCGACAGATGAAACTCTTCAAAGAACTTTGAGGCATTGTTTGCCTTAAAGAATCTTTATTCGAGCAGCATAGCATCGGCACGTACATAAGTGAAGCCAAAATCTGTACTCCCCTCCTCTTAGCGCATAGTATCAAATACAATTCTCTCCTCTAGTTAACAGTCATAAATCACATTCTCCAATTAGTTTGAAATGCAGGATTTCCCTCCATTACTCCATCCCGCCATTTCTTATCCTCTCCTATTTCAAAAGCCCTGAATTCACACACTATTACAATATTGTTGTGTCTAACTAACTCCCACCACATTCTTCCTCCTTCCCCAGTATCATCTAATTCTAATAGTAAAGCATGAGAAAGAAAAAGGCTGCATCTCCATATGTGGTCAAAGCAAGAACATCCAATGTTAGCAGCGTTGACATAGCCAAAGAGAACCCAACCCTTATTACCTACTCCTCCCAAAAAACTATTGAGTAACGAAGCCTAAATATGAACCTGCCTGATGATTTCATTCTGTGTTCATTATTTCCCCAAATAAACTGTCAGTGATAACAACAGTGCCATGCCGGGTATGATGTATGTTTTTCCTGATCCCTCTCCTCCTATATTACACCAAACTGCCAAGAGAGTCACAAGATGTTCTGTGAAAATAAATGAAATAAAAATATATTAAAAATGGCTAATTATGTTTGCAATCAGTCCTGACTCCGGCACCATGACTCATCCCTTGCAAACATTTGTGGTTCAGCGAGAGTTTAATGCTCCCAAATGCTGCTTATCTCTTTTTATCTCCATGCAGAGTCAGCACTTTATGTTTTAGGGGCTTTTATCGAAATCCAGAAGATGATTTTGTTATATTTCCATCGTGCCCTTGCCAGGCAGATCTAATTCTTCGTAGCCCATATGTTGACTTGGTTTTAGAACATAGAACATAGAATAATAGAGTTGGAAGGGACCTTGGAGGTCTTCCAGTCCAACCCCCTGCTCGAGCAGGAGACCCTGTACTATTCTAGGCAAATGGTTGTCCACTTTCTTTTTTGAAAGCCTCCAGTGATGGAGTACCCACAACTTCCAAAGGCAAGCTATTCCATTGATTGATTGTTCTCACTGTTAGGAAATTTCTCCTTAGTTCTTGGTTGCTTTTCTCTTTGGTTAGATTCCATCCATTGTTTCTCGTCTTGCCTTTTGGTGCATTGGAAAATATTTGACCCCCTCTTCTTTGTAGGAGCCCCTCAAATATTGGAACACTGCTATCATGTCTCCCCTTGTCCTTCTTCTCATTAGAGTAGACATCCCCAATTCCTGTAACCGTTCTTCATATGTTTTAGCCTCCAGCCCCTTAATCATTCTTGTTGCTTTTTGCACTCTTTCCAGCATCTCAGCACTTTTTTATATGGTGGTGAGCAGAACTGGATGCAGTATTCCAAGTGTGGCTGTACTAGGGCTTTGTAAAATAGTACTAATACTAATATTCAACCCTGACAGTGATCCAGAAAAAAATGGGTATGTTCATAACTCATTTAGGAAGGGCTTCTTTGTGTCACTCCTTTGACTGTGAATTTTGACGCAGCTACTCTGAATGAGTTGGCAGGGGGTTGCAAATTGCATGCTTGGTAGAAGAGGTTGATCATCCCAGATAAGAGGAACATCTTGTCCGTGGTTGAGGATATACAGAAGTTGCACTCCTCTTCTAGAATTTCCAGACAAATATAGATTAATATGCAAGAAGTATTCTTTAAGTACATTAATTAATTCCATCCTCAGTTGATTCATCTGAGGGTATTGGAAGGTTCAGTTAAAAAGCATGTGAATTTGCAAATCCTGAATTAATTGGGTTTCTGGTGTGGGAAGTAAAGTCTTCATCCTGGTTCATCCAAGCCGGGAATAAATAAACAACATGGCGAAAGCTTTGGGAAGAAGATTGCAATAAGATGGTTCTTGCAGGAAAAACCAGAGAAGAGAAGGGCCTGAGCACATGTGGAGTAGGTTTTTATACCCTCTGAAAGCCTTTTGTTTGGAATAGTTTCCTGTTCCTGTGGCATGAACTTTGAGGATATTTCCTGTGTCATGTATTCTGACCTGAGTTTAGGTGTGCCTCTCTGGTATTCTTTATGGTGATGGGTTGGTCCTATTATCATATCCTGCTTCCCTGGTGATGGGGCTAATGGTTCCTAGAGTTTGGGTGGGGTATGCAGATTTTAGGTCTTTGTCTTTTTGAGTTTCTGGCTCCAACTTTCTGATGGTTTTACATTTGCATTTGTATAGGGCTGGCTCCTGCTTGGAACAGAGAGATTTGGGGGCAGGGTTGGTTTCTGCTTTTAAAAATCATTTTGAGAAAATATATTTTTCTGCCCTTTTAATATTTCCTTCTCTGGGGCTCTGACTTCCCTCACTGGTATGTGACTTACAGTACAGTATGAAATGATTGGAAACTAACAACTCCAACTGTGACATTCATTCATGGGACCACTACATCTCACACTTTCTTCAACATCTCAAGCAGATACCCATGGTACAGTTTGGGGAATGTACAAATCGATTTCAGCTCATTGGTTAAAAGACTGATGGTTGATCACCTAAGTATTATTTTAATTATCTATAACCTGAATGTATAGATCATGGAGAATATTTGTACTATCTGGGCGCAAAGAGAAAATATCTGCTGCAAACTCCACATAGGCGTCAGGAAGGGCATCCAGCCAGTAAACGCTCAGCTCCATTCAGTCACCCCAACTTCGCCCCAATAAAATGGGATTACAGGTTGTATAAAAGGGAAAACACATGTACTAAATTTGAATACAGCCTTCTCATTTATGATCATTTCCTGTTGCCCCCTACAGACAGCAGCCCAGGCGGTTTTATTTATGTGCATGAATACCGCTGGGATTTTCATCAGCTACCTATCCGATCGAGCTCAACGCCAAGCCTTTTTAGAAACCCGAAGATGTGTAGAAGCTCGCCTGCGGCTGGAGACCGAAAATCAGCGGCAGGTAAGGCGAGAGGGAACATCTGGAGAACTTCCCCTGTGTGCTCTCTGTTGTGTCCTGAGCCTGCAAGAGGCAGGCTCGGGACATTGCAAGAGTCCCGGGCATTTGCAGAAGCTGCCCGGGACCAGACTGAGTGGCGCCGGCCTTGCGCACATGCGCAAGGCGGGAAAAGACCGCCTTGTGATTGGATGGATTTGCCCGGGGATTAGAGGGTATAAATAGAGGCCTGCGTGCCTCTGCTCGGGTTGTTCGTAGGTTGGAAGCAGAGAATAAAGACTTGTTAGAAATGCTTCGTCTCAAGCACCATTATTCTCCGGACATAACACTCTCCATAATGCCTTTGGCTTTGCAACACAGCTTGGCAGCATTTTGGTTCCTGCAGAAAAAAATTATGGATACAGAGCTTTCCATCCAATCCCCAGGCTTAGGATTGAAGCATCAGTTCTTGGTGAAAAACACTCACTTGAAGCTTAGCTTTTCTCGCCCTGAAATAAGTTCCCGTGCCTAAGAAGAATCTAGCAACAATACGTGAAATGCATTTGGGAATGAAGACAAAAAAGGGTTATTAGTGCTGTGATAAATGACTTTTTTTTTTTTTTTTAAAAAGGAGCAAACTCTTAAGCACCATAGGAGAAAATAGGTAGTTTTTCTTTTATGAGCTTACCGGTGGCCACAGTCATTCATTCATTCAGCTTGAAGACCTCTAGATAGAAAGATATGAGTCATCTTGCTTTGAGCTAAAATGTGAGATCATCCATAACTATTTATATTCAAACATTTGGGCATAGCACAGGAAGTTTAATTTCTCTCCTCCTTCAATGGAATGAGATATATGATAAGCACTGGTCCAAAGGAACAGCAAAAAATAAATAAATATGAGTTTGTTCTACCCCAGGCAAAGTTTTGAGGATAAGAGAATGGATCTTAATCTAAAGTCTTTGATGCGTGAAGTGACTTCTCTCCTCCAAAGTGGTGTGAACTTAAGTTTTTTTTTTTTAAAGCTAGAAGGCACGAAGGCAATACAAATACAAAATAGTTTTAACAACCAGAGATATAGGAGGAAAATCTGCTAATATGCATTGATTGTACTCATTAATATCCCATTCTTCCTACTGAGCATTCAACTTCAGAAAAGCAGTCCTTCTGCACTTCGTTAATAAAAATATAGTTTTCTAATTAGAACAAGAAATGGGTTTGTTCAAACCTGGATTTATCAACCGAGTCCAGTTCCGGGTGCTACATTAGGATTCAAACAGACTTTAATAGGATTATAAAAAGCTATTATGAAGAGAGACTGTGGGAATGCAGAACTAAAATTAAAATTTAGAAGGGGTCTGCTACATTGAAACCTGCATACTTGTTCAATAATAATTGGCCTGCAGACCAAGCAATAACAACAGCACTTAGGCTTATATCCTGCTTCATCGTGTTTTACAGCTCTCTCTAAGCAGTTTACAGAGTCAGCAACTTGCCCCCAACAATGTTCTAATGAGCTTTGTAACACTGGAACTGCAAAGGGAGAGGATCTGCACAGCTAAAGGAGATAGTTGTCCTTGCTCTCTATATCCAAAGGAAATAGTCACACATAAGTCATAGAATCGTAGGGCTGGAAGGGATCTTGGAGGTCTTCTAGTTCAACCCCTTGACCAAGGCAGGAGTGCTTATACCAGGAGTAGGCAACCTTGGCTCTTTTATGACTCGTGGACTTTAACACCCAGAATTCCTGAGCAAGCTATGCTGGCTCAGGAATTCTGGGAGTTGAAGTCCACGAGTCATAAAAGAGCCAAGGTTGCCTACCCCTAGCTTATACCATCCCTGACAAATGGCTGTCCAATCTTTTCTTGAAAACCTCCAGGGATTGAGCACCCACAACTTCATTCTCACTATCAAGAAATTCCTCCTTACTTCTAGATTCTAGATTAACAAGCTTCTACCCTTTGCTTCTTGTCCTGCAGTGGAGTGGAGAGTTGTATGCCTTCTTCTTTGTGAGATCCAGCCAAATATGGGAAGACTGCTATCAGCTTCCCCCTAAGCCTTCTCATTGTTAGGTTAATGGCAATCGCACTTAGACTTATATATTGTTTCACAGTGCTTTACAGCCCTCTCTAAGTGGTTTACAGAGTCAGCATATGGCCCCCAACAATCTGGGTCCTCATTTTACCGACCTCAGAAGGCTGAGCCAACCTTGAGCCGGTGAGACTCGAACTGCTGAACTGCTGGCAGCCAGCAGTCAGCAGAATTAGCCTGCAGTACTGTGTTCTAACCACTGCGCCACCATGGTTCATAAGCAGTGCTTGCGACTAAGGATTAAACTCAAACAGGAGGAACTCAAAATGGTGGACTTCTCCCACTGAAGAATCTAGCGTATTGTTTTTCAACCTCAGCAACTTTAAAATATGGGGGCTTCAACTTCCAGTGCCTGGAACCAAATCTGGTGGACCCTCAGAAACAGGGTTGAGGAAGGAAATATGCTGATATATGAGAAGCTACGTTTCCTCCATTAACATTTTTCAACAGGCTGTCGCAGAAGGCTTAAGTATATCTTGCAGGATCATACCTTTCTCTCAAAGTACAGCATAGGTGGCACCTTGCTCAATAGTAGTAACTGTGAGAGGGATCTCGGAGTCCTAGTGGACAATCACCTAAATATGAGCCAGCAGTGTGCTGCAGCTGCCAAAAAGGCCAACACAGTGCTAGGCTGCATTAACAGAGGGATAGAATCAAGATCACGTGAAGTGTTAATACCACTTTACAATGCCTTGGTAA